ACAAATCTTTGTGTGGCTCCTTATCAGACAAACCCACGGAAACATCTTTCAGCTGCTGGGCCATGATAGCAAGCGATCGCGTGAGCATGCGTCTGCTCCCATTCAGAGCGCAGCGCTGAATGGGAGCAGACGCATGCTCACGCGCTCGCGTGAGCATGCACGTGCACGTGGATTTCAGTCCTCACTTACAGGTGAGCTTCGTCAGTCACGCCCTACAGCGCTTTCTTAGTCACCGTACCAGCGAGACTGCTCAATACCACCTAGAACACAAGGCCTGCGCGTTTCCTCCTCTAAACGTCATCACTAGTAGATCCCCTCAGCGCCCCCTAGCTAGCCCGGATGAGCAACATCGTCTGCTACATCGTCTGCTCCACCGCCTGCTTCGGTGGTTTGTGTAAGAGATAATGAAACAGATGCTCACGAAGAGTGTCTCTTGGAAATAGCATACGATGAAGTTAGACGTTCACGTGGAGCGTCAAATGCATGAGTGAAATTGCCTTGCTGCTGCGCAAAGGGCTGAAAAGCCCTTCGTTGGACGCTGGACGCTGACACTGAACGCCATTTTCGAGGGCGCTGTTTATACCCCGGGTAGCTGCTTCGAAACGCTCTACCGCAGAACGAGCGCGCGCGCTAGAAATGCGCGTCTCAAAACCAGGAGCGCGTGCTAGCTCGCTCTCCTGGCCGAGGGAGCGTTCACGTGCACGTCGCAAATGCACTGGAAGCTCGCTATCACCTCGCGCTCAGCAGTCACGCACACAGCTGCGGCCGCAAGGGAATGCGACGTAGATGCGAAGCGGCCCCTACTCTCGTCAAGCTTCGGGGTGTTTGCCGCTTGGGGCGGGTCGGGGATCTACTAACGAAACGTCATACGCAGGCCTTGTCTTCTAGGTGGTATTGGACTGCTCCATACTGGAAAACTCCATAACTTGGACGGTGTCTGCTTGACTGATGTGTTGTGGCTACTGCATTTCAACAGGAAACTTGACTTTCTTTTATAAATGGCTAGCGCGTGACGTTCTGGCAACATGTAGCTGGTCACTGCCAATTTTTCTCGCAAAGTAAAACAAATTTGGTGGTGGGAAATCTATGCTGAAGCGCGGCCGGACTGGAAGCGCGCGCTCTCTCGCGCTTCCAGTCCGGCCGTGGCTGAAGAAGGCACGCGATCAGCAGCAAGGCCACTTAAAGGGGCGATGCAACGATTTTGTATTTTGCGCAAATATCGCTTAGAACGGATCCCTGACGTTAATAACCTGTGAAATACCCGTTCGTTTTTCACCACACGCAATCGAAGTCGCAGAAAAAAATAAAGAAAAACGAGCAGAGTTCACCCCCTCAACTTGCAGCCAGAACAAGCGGCCACGTGATCTGCAGTCGATTATATGCCGCCAATTTTGATCATAGCCATGCGCTTGGGTTGGCAAGGCACAGGACACGCGCTGAGTTCCAGACATTGTTAGGGTTCGGCTGTTGTCGTCATTGCAGCGATTGGACACAGGACACTATCCGAATGCTTCTCGAGCTATAGATTATCACGAGCCCAAATCGAGTGCCCACGCCGTGCTCGGGTCCAATCTATGAGCCGCATTCAAATATCGTCACTGGGCGGTACTGCTACCGACCAGCTACGTCATCAGGTTTTGCGAAGGAGAGATTGAACGAAAACACTCGGTTTTGTCCTCGAAATTACACCGCAACAAAGGAGTTTCTTGACCAGTGGCGTTGCGTGAGAGTATCCTCGAGTCCCACCAGTGCCAGTAAGCTCGTGTAAAGTGAAAAACATTCCAATTGAATATCGTTGCACCACCCCTTTAAATTGCAACTGATGTGGTCAGTGCGAGGCATGTATTCAAGAGAAACTAAATAGTTTTGATTGGTGCGGCGTTGGGATGAACGGAGAGAGCGCGCGGCAACATAAAAACGCGATTTCTGGCACGAATGCTTGTTGCGAAAAATTGTTTCAGTGGCCACGCTCTCCTGTTTCTGTTGTATCTATCTCAAAACTATTTACAGCATCATTTTCTACCTGAAAAATAAATTACGCATCAACGAACACTCATCGTCTGCCCATTTGTAGCTCTAGCGGTGCGAACAAGATGCCAAAGTTTCACAACTAACGGTTTCCTTGTTCAAAAGTTATTTGATCTTCTGAAACTTTCAGTGGGAAAATACGGCTCCGTTGCCGCCATTTCACCATTCAAAATTTCAGAAAATCACTTATAACCTTTATTTAAGGTAACGGTTAGTTCTCAAACTTTGACCTCTAGCTCGGAAAAGAACCCTGTTTTTGTTTTATTTTATTTTTTTAGGGGGGGGGGGGGGGGGGCACATTAAGATACAGTGCCAAAAAACCTTTACCAAAAAAAAAAGTATGTTTCAAAAACTACCCTCCCCCTTATTTTCTGTCCTTCCTCAGGTTTTTGGACAATAATTTTTAATTGTCATTTTTCACCCAAGGATGGGGAAGTTTAAGCCAAATACGGAGGTTGTGGAAACTGGTAGCAAGAACATTACAACGATCCTCCCGAATCGTGCGAAAGTTAACCTCTAAGTGCCTGCCAATGTCTCGCTGATGGAGAGAGCTTCTCAAAGTTTCAAGTTTCCTGTGCCTCTGGGGCCACCGGGGTCTTTCTTTTCATATACCCTCGCTGGGTATATGGCAACGTGCTTGATTCGGTGGGACAAGGCATCGATATACGAGAGTACAACGGGTCTAGTGAATGGCCTTTTTTTTTTTTTTTTCCCCTAGGGCTATTGTAGTCTCTAAACATTCCCACAAGGGTCGATGTGTTTCTCTGTCCTGGTCCGACATTTTTTTTTTGCGCTGTTGCCACCAAACAGTATGTACCATCAACTAGCCAAACTGCATGACTTGTTATGTAGAACATAATGTGCAAATCGTAATAGTTGAGAAAAAATTTGTTTCGGAAGAATTGGACGGAACTTAGCGCCACCTAGCGTAGACATTTGCAATTATTCTGCCTGTGACTGCTGTCTCGTGGCTCGCGATTTAACCTTCTTTCCTGCTTCGCGATATTTCTTGAACCGTGCAATAAGCCAAGTGCTGCTTTCAGTTCGCTCTTTCGGGAACAATCGTTGGTTTCGCGAATGGTTTACCATTCCTCTCTGATGTGCGTTACTAACGAAGAAAATGTTCCTCGTGTAATTGCAGAGCTAGGTGAGACCTGATGTGTGCGCAGTGGCCGGTTTCAGTTTCTTCGTTTAGCATCGCAGTGTTGAAAACGGGAAGACTGAGTCGCAGCGTTCGAAACGCCTTTCCTTATGAGCACGGGGAGCCCGCGCCGGTAGTATAGATATACAGGGTGATACAAGGAGACGCCGGGCTCTTTAAATCGACCGCAAAATTCGGTTTCTTAACCGAACGCGCTACGACATTGTGCAGCGTTGCGCACAGATGGTGCATTTTTTTTTCTTTTTTGTAAAATTTGCAAAGAGCGAATTTACCTGAGGAAAAAGTAAAGAAAGAAAAAGGCTTAGCTCCTATGGAAACGCAGCGAAGCCACCGGTCTTCAAACAAGACGGCGCCCTATGGTTTAAATACCGGCGGCTTCGCTGCGTTTTCCAGGAGCTAAGCCTTTTTCTTTCTTTAATTTTTCCTCGCTCGTTGTAAATTAAAAAAAAAAAAAAAAATAATGCACCATTTGTGGGCAACGTTGCACAAAGTCGTAGCGAGATAGGTTAAGAAACTGAATTTTGCGGATGATTTAAAGAGCCTGGCCGCTCCGTGAATCACCCAGTATTAGCGGCGAGAAGTTTCGGTGGCGCCCTCGTTCGATTACCTTTCGTGACGTCATTACCTTGTGAACAGAAAGTTCGATGGTGTTTGTAATGGGCATGGCGGAAACCTGAAATCATAGCGCTATCAAAGCAACGCATGCCAACACCGTCGAAATTCAAGTTCTTACATTCCTCTTATTTCCGTTGATGAGACACCCTTTGCCGACGTCATAGTCAGTATTCCACCAATTGTGTGTGGGCCGACCACAGCGACGCTTTCGATCGCTCACGTCACCAATAGTTCGTGAAACGCTTGTGTTACGTTTTCATTTTGTACAGATCCCGCTTCGAAAGGAAAGACTTGCTTGGATGTGCGCGAAGCGGTTGACTGCGTTTCTTGCAATAGGGAGTATTCACTGGTGGCCATAGCTGTGTGCGCGAATGCTGAGCGTATGCTCACGGCGAGCTTCCACAGTTCTATTGCAACGTGCATTCCGCACCATCAAGACTGCCGGTCTTAGCAGCCTATTGATGTGAGCTCGTTCTGGCATGCGCCCTAAACAGCACTCACGAATATGGCGTCCAGTGAATACTTCCTATAGCTGCATAGCAGGCCCGGGGGAAGGGGGGGGGGGGGGGGGGCACCAATGGTGCGAGGTAATTGCCTGTCCGAAAACTATGCTGGCTCTTCTCGGTTGACTCGTGGCAGCGTTGCGCGTAAAGACTAACACTATGCGTAGCGTCCTAACATTCTCATTAAGCCTTACGGAGCTCGACACGAGGGAGGGACTTTGCTCCCCCGTTTCCAGGGACGAACGTTGCTCTGTTTCTAAAGGAACATAGGGGACAAGATCGTTCCTCACTTAGTGAAAAAATATAAATACCTTTTTCTTTTTTTTTGTTAGGAGTGCCGGATTTTTTTATACAGGAAAAGCCCCGACATTTCGCCAGGAAAAACAAAATGACTTAGCCGTGATAAAAAAAAAAAGAGGACAATATGGCGGTCGAGAAAAGGTTGCGTCAGCGTTCGACCAGGATTCGGATCCAATCAGACGCCTTGTGACCAAGAAATGGCGGCCGTCAATCCTGCTTGATTAACTTTTGACAGGGGTCTATTTTGAGACCGTGTGTGTATGTGTGTGTGTGTGTGTGTGTGCGCGCGCATGTGTGCGTGTGTGTGTGTGTGTCGAATATTTTATCTTTTTGCCTTGCCTTGAATTAGAAATTTTTCCCGGTTCGCCGTCGACGTGGACTTGCGTCCGCAGGTTGCGCCTGCGTCCACGGGTGCTACGGGGCGTGGCGCAGAGGAGCACGGAGGTGACGCTGCTCGGAGACCAGAGGCTCTCGTTTCCCGTGGGCATCTCGCCCACCGCAGCCCACAAGGCGGTGCACACGGATGGGGAAGTGGCCACCGCAAAGGGTGAGTCCAACGACGTCACCGTGTGAGCATCACGAAGACACCGCCCAGCTATCTCCAGACTATCCCACTCGACTTCAGCTGGCCTCTAATCTCGTTCTATTAGCGATGTGCGCGACCAAAAGCGTCGCTACACGGTCAGCTTTCCACGATTGGCCAGACATTGGGCATATGAGCATTGTCAGATTGTCAACTTTGACGGTGTTAGTTCCGTTTGCGATGGTTCCTAGCTTCCACTGTGCTTTCAAAACACACCATCGCGCTCGTCGTCGCACCTGGTGGTAAGTCGCCAGGGTTACAACTGGTGACGTCATGGTGAGGCAAAGCCCAGTCGTGACGTCACGGACGGAAAACATTAGAGGGCGCCACCGAAATATCTCGACGCCAATAGACTTGTAGGTAACTCCTTGAAGACAGCATAACAAAAACAAAACAGAACGCGTGAGAATTCTTTTTCTTAAAATCTAACTCCTCACACTTTTTTGTCGACTCATCATTCGGGTAAACGCGAGAAACACGAAATATGTCGTGCCTGCATTAGGATTTTGTCGTTTTTTATTATACAGTGGGTTACGAGGAGCACATAGTTATTACGATCAACGCTAGAGGTTCAGGTGGCGCTAGTGTGCTGTTGCATTTTAAAGCAGACAGCAAGCAGTCTAAATTTGACTTCCGGTAATGCATTCCTATGAGAAAACACAAATGTTTTTTCTCTTGGCGCTCGATTATAAGAGCAAATTCTGCTTAGTGTTGTAGCAGAATAGGAAGTTTGGAACGTTTTACAATCGGATGTACAAAAATATGTTACAGTTAAAGCGTTTTTCTTTGAAATTCGTGGCGTTGAAATCGGCGCTGAAGTAGCCCAATGCACAAGTACATTACGCGTTGACGTTACAGACTGCTATTATAGGGCACGAATTTACGCATATAGTCAATACTATGAAGCGTGCAGGGCGAATCAGCATGAAAAAAAAGGATGCTAATATATGTTAAATCAAGCAATCAAAACTGGCATCAAGAACGAAGCATGAAGTTATGGAACGAAGAACACGTTCTGTATTAGTAACAAACTCTGCATTTGTAACAAACTGTGTTTCCGCCACCTGAATGCTAATATAAAGCTCTTGAATAAACCCTATGCACTTTTTAATTGTTCTTTTAGAGCGCAACTCATAGGCACCCGCTTCCGGGTTGAGCGGCGTCGCTTTCAGTGCCGGCGTCGGCGTAACCGTGCGTTGCATTTGGGGACGTGTGACGTCACACGTTACGTCACGAGGGTTACCCTTACGAGGGAAACGCTCACGAGGGTTATCCGTAAGAGGGTGCCCTTACGAGGAAGACCCTCAAGAGGGTTATCTTCACAAGAGTAACCCTAACGTGGGTTACCCTCGTGAGGATGACCCTCATGAGGGTTACCTTCGTGAGGGCTAGCCCCGTGAGGGTTACACTCACGGGGGTCACGTTACCCTCATGGAAGTGAGGGTAGGGTAATCATCGTGAAGCTTACTCCCGCGAGGATAACCCCCGTGAGAGTTACCCCCGTAAAGGTTACCCTAACGGGGGTAACCCTCACGAAGATTACCCTTACGAGGCTAACCCTCGTTACCGCCGTGAGGGTAACCCTTGTGATGGTTATTCACCCGAGGGTCACGAGGGTAACGTCAAAACGCTACCCTCGTGACGCCACATGTGTCGTCATTATGGAAAACACGGGACGTCACGTTACGTATGACATCAGCGAATCTAACATTGTCAATATTTCCGCTAATTTAGCGGGGAAGGAGGAGGCCACAAACCCTTCCCCCCGTACCCTCCCTTCTCCTCAAGAGCTGAGCTCTAATTCGTCGTTACTGAGAATTGTAAACGGCTTTCATGTTTTTTGCTTGAATTGATAGCTTATATTGACATATCAATGTTGTACAACATAGACCTACGCCTTAATTTTCGCTAACTTAAACATCACTCAGTAGTAAAAAAAAAACATTAACTAAATAAATTACACTTTTATAATGTGAATTAAGCTACATAGTACCCGTTACGACTAAAGAAACTACGCTGATGTCTTTTATTTGCGGGTGAAGAGAAAAACATCACGTGCGGTTTCCCATAGGAACAAGAGGACTGCAAAAGTAGACTGCTTGCGATCTGCTTCAATTTGCAACCGGAAATTCCGTAGACACTTGCGCCAGCTCAGCCTCTAGCGTTTTTTGTAATAACTCTATGACGAAAAACTTTCGGCTATTTCGCCCGAACGCACACAATTAAAAAAAAAAATGGTTCCTTGCTTTCGAACTTACTAGCGCCGCTGTTCTGAAACTTTCTTATCTTATGTACGAGCCCCTAAGACCACAATCGTCAAAGCTTAGGCCATTCGTAGCTTTTATTCCCCATTGAGCGAAAACGTGTCTTGCTCTTGTCTCTTGGCATCCTGTAAAGACGCAGTTGTACTGCTCATGCATCATGCAAAAAAACAGTCTGTATCTGTGGCGTGTTTCTTCCTGGTATGACGTTCCCTTCACGTTGCTCATAAAACAACTGTCTGCAGACTTCTTCGAAGCATGTATATATGAAGAAACCATGCTTTTAACATTCTTGTGGTGTGTTCGCAGATAATTATGTCATCGCATGTGCAGCGAACACCGCGTATATTGCATTTTTGTCTAACGCACGCGCAGTGTGAGGGCGGCTCAAGCCTACGTATTATTGCTAAATGCGTCACCTTACTGATTCTCTATGGTTCCGTTACCAGCTGCCCGGGATGCGAAGACCGTCATGGTTTTAAATACCTTCAGCCACACTTCTATTGAAGACGTCCGGAGAGCGGTCCCGGATGGGCTCTTCTGGTTCCAGACGGGCATCTACAAGGATCGAGATTTTACCAGACATCTCGTGCAGCGCGCCGAACGAGCGGGTTTTAAGGCGGTGCTTCTGACCGTGGACATGGCCGTTCCCGGATGCTGGAAAGACAAGCTCGGCGCAGCGTCCACACTCTCGAGCGATCCGCCAAAGTAGGTTGACAGGTGGCTCGGCTTACAGCATTTGAGAGGATTTTTGGACAGCTGACCTTCCCGGGCGAAGGTCAGGATGCATTAATCGAAACACCACGTATGGTGGTTAAAATACTGGACACTCGTGTCGTCGGTGGGGCGATGGGGCGGATTGAAACACACTGTAGCACCTATAGCATTTTCGACATGAACAGGGCGATGAATAATCCTTCCCTAGCCGCGGCTAGGCAAGGATTATTCCTCGATATCAAAGGCAATGTTTCACTGCACTTTTCGCCGCAGCTTTTACCGAGTACACACGGGTAACTGTTATTCCTTTAAGATGTTTTATGTACACGAACTACGCTTTCTGACGCCATGTACACCAATTTGTTGTTTGTAAACAACACATTGGTGTATAAATCCCCTTCGCCTTCACGTGAGCTATATCAACCGTGTTTCCTCATTCGTTTCCCAGAATGGCCAATCTGCTAGGCACTTCGATGCACCACTACACAGAAGGGGCAGGTGGCGGTTACAGCGACATGATCGACGCCTCCGTGACCTGGGCCGACGTCACCTGGCTCAAGAGCATCAGCAAGTTGCCCGTGGTCGCGAAGGGGATTCTGACAGGTGCAATTCTTTTGCAATCATCTCGAGAAGTGGCTGCTGTAAGAAGCGGGCTGTCGAAGCGCGAAAACAGCCGCAGTCGAGTCGTTAATACACCGTGAGAAATACACCCTGCAAACAAGGTCGAAGGCATGCTTTATTCCCTGTGCGAAGGTCCGTTCACGTTGGTGGTCATACAAACACTGTGCGCAGATATGTTCGATCATGCTCGCGAATACGTGTGCTGTACGTGTTCGCGAGAACGGGCGTGGGTTGTTTTTGCGTCTGTGTCGGAATGCGGCCGGCGCGCGTGCACCTGCTTCCGGACGTGGAAACGGGGAAAACAAACCGTTTTCCTAAACGACCGTTCGCATTTCTTCTTGTATTACTTTTTCCCGCGAGGTTTCGCTTATTTCACTTATTTACTGTACCGCACACGTCATAGGTCGAACGGGTAAGAAGCCTACAATGATGTTCGTGCACTTGCCGAGTCTTTTGACATCTGCTGCTTGTTGTGCTCTCGCAATGTAATTATGTATGGGCTGAAACTAAAATAGCAAAGACAACTTCATATGTTGACTTTCCTGAGCTATTTGTTTTCTTTTTACTTCGATTCAAGGGTGATGTAAACATCAGGTTGCTGTGGCGGTGTAGCGTGTGACAGTCAATCAAGCAAAAAAAAAAAAACTGGGTCCGCTTGTACGATTTGGCGTATAAAAGACGAAATATAATGAAAAGAAAAAAAGAAAAAAAAAAAAGAAACGGAAATTGCACGAAATTCGGAACTTACTCCAAGTCTCGGGTTAAGTTGCAGCATTGGAATTAAAAATAGTTCCTCACCATTACTTGCAAAACGGACCAAGCGTGGTAATTTACACTAGTTGAAATAATCTTTTAACAAAAGTCTAGTTACATGTAGTACATGCCCTGTTTTCTTTTTTTTTCTTTTTTTCTTTTTTTTCGATAGCAGTTTTGAACAATTGCCGCATGCTAGGAATGTCGTACAATTCCCGGTTGAGTTTTCTACATCTGTTCCAAAACCTAAATGCGAATTTCGCTGAATTACGATCTAATACGCACATGGCTGTACAAAGTACCGCTAGGCGCACATGCCGTTTTTGCGTCGTAAATAAGTGCAGGCCTGCGTGTGCTTGAGCTACGCAGTCACTCTAAAGCCGCACCCCCCCCCCCCCCCCCCCCCCGCTCATGCATCATGCAGTGTCCATAGGACAGGTGGTTCATAGGACCAATGCAGCGTCAGACGGTGTTTATAGGGCCAACGTAAAACGAAGTATAGTAGAGTATTTGCCGGTACTACCATCTACGAAGCAACACCGGACGAAATGTGCAGTTTTCTTTAGACGGTATACCTTCGCAGAGGGGTCGACAAAGCTGTGTGTGGACGAAAAGAGCTCACCACAGTGACGAAGCAAAAGAAACACGCGAAACAAAAACACCCCACACGTGTGCTAGGAATGCCCGAGAAAGAGGACTGCCTTGCTGGCAAATCCGTGTTGTAAAGACACGAAAAAGTCCATTCACCATTTTTTTATTTTTTTTTTAAAGAGGCTACGGTTCTGTAGGTTCGAGAACTAATTTGACTATATGAGTGGGAAAACAATTAACGAGGAAAAAAATAGTAAAGTTGACTTACCCTCACCCGATAGGCTGGCAATGCCCCTCCTAGATTATTTCGCTACTGTAATCACCGACAACTTTTAAAAAACGCAGGGCGGGGCTTATTATGTTCGTATTTCTTGCTTTGAGATCCGCTCTTGGGTGTTATCCTTCAATGCCACAATATTGTTGGCTGCGGAACAATAATATGTTGCCCGGGTCTTTCCACGACCTGCGTCTCTTAAACATATAGGGTGTTTGAAATATCAAGTCTCCATCTAAAAGTGACCGTACAAACCGGCGCCTGCGCGTAGCAATCTAAACTTTTTGTCAAAGGCGTACTTGACCGGTCGGTTTTAAACTGTAAAGTTGCAAGGCGTAGCTCTCCTTGTGTACAAAATAGGGCTTAAAAAACTTGCCAGGGTCAACGGCGGACGGCAACGCAGACGACCGAGTCAAATGGCGGGGCGCGTTTGGCGCAGGTATTGATACATGGTACTACCTCCTTGTTCTGGCTTTTTTTTTTAATATCGAGACTGCTTGCGACGGCCGTTGTCTATACGCCTCGCAAGTGGGCTCATTTTCATCTTCTGCGCATGAGAAAGGAAGTAGCGGTGACGTCAGAACGCCGAACCCTGATTGGCTGATCGCGACCCCCTATCTCAGCGTCGTTTGCTCCTTTGCAACGTCGTCTGCTCGCAACATCGTCTGCGTCCGTCTTACCTTTCCTGCGACTTTCGGAGCGAACTCGACTTGGCCTTTAAGGGAGGGCAGACGAAATAACTCGAGCGGTACGTTGTTTTCGTCTAACAACTAGCAGACGCGCATCAAGGAGGGAAGTCAAAGGACTCACTGGCGAGGTGTCCCGGGGCGCCGAGGTTTGTTTGCTTAGTGTCCGCAAGTTCCCTCCCAAATACTTTTTACCTCCATTCGTGTGCGGCGAGACCCCTCACTCTTTAACGGCGCCGGCGGGTTGGCGCAGTTATAGTCGTCTGCTTTACGTCTGCTAGTCAAAGCGATGGCTGCTTTACCTTTCCTGCGTCTGTCGGAGATTCGCCGCTTTTTCACCGGCGAGAGTCACCGTTGCCTCGGGAAACAAGGAGATAACAATAGGAAGAAATTGACCTCTTAATCTAAAATTGAGGTCAGCGATCAAAGTATAACACGGGAAGGGTTCACAAGGGTCGCGCGGGGGCATATTCCATTCAGCACGTCAGCCGGTCGTGGGCAGACGGTCGCCGAGTCGCGGAGTGCCTCCTAGGCCTAACTGCCCAGCTCGTTTGGTCGCGTTCGGTGGAATCTTTGCCGTTGGAGCTTTTCCCCGGTGTCTGTGGATCCAGCGTTCTTGTTCGTCGTGCTCTGTTTCAAGTAATTTTTACTTTTTTTGCTGCTTGAAGTCAGGACGCGTGAGAAGCTCACGTAGAAAAATAAACGTCCGTGGGTCGTCGCGACCGCGACGCTGTCGGCCATGCTGACTTGATCGTAAGAAGTGCGTAACAGCTTCGGAGCTGTCGTAGGATTTCGCCGTAACCTGCGCAAAACTTACGAAAATTTCGTTTCGTGAATACGAATTTGTTCTTAAGTTTTGTCTTACGCACATTTTTGGCGTAAGATCGTTTCGTGAATCTGGCCTCTGCACTTCCGAAAGTCGCAGGAAACGTAAGACAGACGCAGACGACGTTGCGAGCAGACGACGTTGCAAAGAAGCAGACGACGCTCAGATAGGGGGGCTCGATCAGCCAATCAGGGCTCGGCGTTCTGACGTCACCGCTACCCCCTGCGCAAGGAGCAGACGAACTTGCCCTCCGCATTAAAATGAACATAACATATTTGTAATGCACATCTGGCTTAGAATGATTGAGGACAATATTAGCAAAACTTGAAGCAACAAAAACAAAACGGAACGCGCATCTGCATCAAGACGGTGCTCTTGCTGCCGACGGATTTCGTATTCGTCTTGTCTGCTTTCTTTCGCTGGTCGGCTACACCTTCCGACGCTGCTCCCGACGCCACGTGTCAATACGTGCGCCAAACGCGCCCCGCCACTCGACTCGGTCATTTGTGTCGCCGTCCGCCGTTGACCCTGACAAGTTTTTTTTACCCTATCTTATACAGAAAAGCAGCCACGCCTTGTAATTTTACGAGGTAAAACTCACCGGTGAAATGCCGCTTTGACGAAAAAGTTTATATTGCTACGGGCAGGCGTCGATTTTTACTGCCCATTTTAAATCGAGCTTCGCCATTGCAGGCACCCTATAAATAAAGTGGCCGAAGCGGAAAGCTCTAGCTTTCACACTGAGCAGGTCTATTTTACCGTGTGAAATTTCAAGGCGTGGTTCTTTGCTTGTAAAAAATTAGAGCAAAAAAGAACTTGCCAAAGTCAAGGTTGGGTGCGTTTGGAGACGACAAAGTTAGCGGCGCTATTTATTTGTGGCACCATCTCCCGATAGGCGCAGAGAGCAGACAACTACGTGCTTCGCCTGCTCGCTGCGCCTATCGGGAGATAGCGCCACAAGTGAAGCCTCGCTAACTCTGTCGTCTCCGAACACGCCCAACCTTGACTCTGGCAAGCTGTTTTGCTTTAATTCTTTTTTACAGGAGAACTAGGCCTTGAATATTCACACGGAAAAACTGAAATGCTGACTGTGAAATTTTGAGCTGTCCATGTAAAGCGCCAATATTTTCTGCTCGTTTACGGCGGAAGATCCGCTTGTGCCGTCCTATTGAATCATTGCAGCAGTCACTCTTGCGCTAAGCTGAAAGGAGAGAGATATGAAGATTTTGTTGCACTCACTCTCGCGTTTCTTTTAAAGATTTGTTTCCTTTTCAGCAACATATGTTAAAAAATTATCTTTTCCCAATTACGATTTCTCTAGCTTCTGGTCGTCCCTAGTAACTAGAAATTAGTCGGTTAGAAAATGATAACGCGATTCAATGAAACTGCCATCTCGCAGAAATGTGATTCTGTTTCTGTAGATGACGTCGGTTCTACTTACGCCGCACACGTGGGCTACTTCTATTATCGGTGATTTTACGATTCAGCATTGCAGACAACTCGCTCACTCTGGATGAAAATAAAATAAAAAAGGCTTCCTTTGTTTTGTCGTCCTAGACGCGCACAACACGTGTAATACGGCAAAGCGTTCTTCGGTTGTGTCAGGGGATCTCTGTTGTGATGACTTACGGGGCGGGGAGGGGGGGGGGGAGCGGGACGTATTTTGACAACAGCTTGCCTTTAAAGTAATAGTATGCACATGCAGTTAGGCTGTGTCATTGTTTGGCTGCGTCACAAAAGCGCCCAAATGATTCTCAACTTCGCCGCTCGTGGCGCGACGGTTGTATCGACTCCCCAAAGGGGTCTCAGACCCTCCGCCGAAATCCGTAAGGGTATCTCCCGAGGCCCCCCCGACTTCAAGCAGTATCGGTGGTCACGTCGCGGTGACGTTCTGCTAAAGGCTGTGTCAGAGATTTGCGCTTGACCGGGATCGATTGTGCTACGACCGCTTGTGACGGCTCACGACGACATAGCACGCTGGTCGTCGTGACGGCTGTGACGGCTCACGACGACAAAGCACGCTCTCGCTCCAGCGAGAAAGTCCTGGAACGCTTAACATCTGCGTACATTTTACGCGCTATTATTTCGCGATGAACTCGATATAGTTCTAGCAATTGTATAGACCTTTCCAGCGCTTACCACCCAGGCGAAAAATGACGAGTCACTGGGCTCTGGACGCATACGAGGCGGCTTATATTTTGTCGAAGAGGGCTTCTGAGCACGCTCAGAAAGCCTTCCACAGGTCAGAGGGAAAAAATATGGCAGCGCCCAGGAGGTGATTATTGGAAAGGCCTATACGGAGAGCAAGTTCGTCTGCTGCTTGAAAAGGAGTTGCGGTGACGTCAGAACGCCGAGCTTTGATTGGTTCCGATTGGAAGGCCAGTGGGTTGACCTCAAGGCAGCTAGGATTGAGGTCTATCCACTATCCCCTCATCAGAGCGAATCAGGGCTCGGCGTTCTGATGTCTGTGCAATCCCTGCGCGAAAAGCAGACGAACTTGCGTTTCGCGTATCTGCTAGAGAGCGCGCAGATGGGATTTCGCAGATACTGCAAAACCTTCATTTTGGAGTCGGCGACATGATAAGAACGTATATTTTGCTTCCCGAGTGCGAGCTTTCTGTCTGTGATTACACTTCGTCACACGCGCAGCAAAAGTCAGGCGGAAGGATACCAAGCACGTGATGCAATTGAAAGGGTTTCGTTGCTATCTTACTGATTGCACCAGTGTGCTAATGAACAGTCGATCACAGTCGAACGCAATGTGCCTTGAACGTGGGTTCAATGTTCCAACTCTTACAGCCGAAGATGCGGAGGAAGCGATCAAGCACGGAGTCTCAGCCATTTTAGTTTCCAACCACGGCGGTCGACAACTGGACGGTGTCCCGTCAAGTGTAAGTACCGTTGCTGTTGCTTAATTCACTTGGTAATGGGCGATGCAATCCGAACCGCAAAACCAGTCTAAAACCCGGAACCCGTTCTGTGTGTTCTCTTTTTTTATGATTTTCGTAGCTTGTTGCCGCACAAAATTGTGTGGCACTGTTTGGACGACGCAGCTTGCCCACTGGCAACGGGCGAAGGCGGGTTCGAGTGGGTTGGCTGTTGCGTTGGTTTTGAGGGTAAAAGCGCTAAAAACAACGGACAAGTAAAAAAAAAACGAACGACACAGAGCGCTACTTGAAACTGAAGTTTATTCACGAATAAACTTCAGGTGCAAGTAGCGCTCTGTGTTGTTCGTCTCTTTCACTTGTCCGTTTTTAGCGCTTTGACCCTAAAAAAAGACATGGATCACCAACTAGCGCAAGTGCATACCCTCCTATGTTGCATTAGCCGCAATGAGAAAAGGGAAAAAAGCGGAGTAGTGGATGGGGCAGGAAAGGCAGAAATCTATAGAATTTTTGAGCTACTTTGAGAGGGAGAATACAACAAAAGCAACTGCTTCTTAAGCGTTTCTTTTTCTTCTGTCGGGATCCGAGAAGCGATAAACCTACCCTCTCTCCTACTCCACTCCCGGACATGGTTTGCGAGAAGGGCAGTAGCCAATCCCTTGATTGGCTACTGCGGAATCCGGGTGCGTCCAGATCCAAAAAAAACGTTTAAAGGATGCTGAACCAAAATCTGGATTTCCCAAAAATACACGGCAAAAGCGTACAGCGGGATGCTACAAACACCAAAACGTCACTCATACAGCGATATCTCGAACGAATGACCGTATTTTTCAAAAAAAGGCCCGCATTTGGTAGGAATCTTGACGTCATGTTTCTCCGAGAAGGAGAGGGAACGGCCTCGCGTCTTCTCCGCCTCGCGGCCTTGAGGGAGCGAAACGAAGAGAGGAGGAAACTAGGTATCTTGACGGTCACGCGCCTCGTCGGCCTGGTTCAATCTCGACTTCTTTTTCCAGAAATACGGCCGTCCATTTGAGGTATCGCCTTACTAGTAGCGTTGTAGGGATTGAAGCGTCCCGCCTACATCTCCAGCATTGTTTTTTTGAAATCCAAATTTCGGTTCACCATCCCTTTAATACTTTCAACTTTCGGCACCCGCAAACGACGGGTCGGGAGCAGGGTGGGGAAGGGGGGAGAGGGGCGCACCTCATTTATCAAGAACTCCACATATAGGACAAAGAGAGGCTTAAGAAGCAGTCGCTTTTGTCGTATTCTCCCCCTGGCGACTACTACCTACACCTCCTAGACCAGGAAGTACTCAGCGGTCTTTCCGCATAGACGAAATAAAAGGCCATAAGGGCCGAGCTAGGGCGTAGAAGAGAAGGCAGCACGGGTGAATTTACCGTCCTAGTAACGATTTATTATTTCTGCAAGCGTATTTATTTTCTTAAATGCCAACTGCGCACACTATTCGTGTTATGACTCTATTTGTTTACTAAAAAGGAAAAAAAAATTGAAAATGATGTAATTATCCCAACAAAATAGATTATTTTTGAAGAATGCTTAAAGCGCATGATAAAGATTGATTGAAAACGTCATTACACATCACTGTACAATCACGGTTGACGTAGCGAACGCATGTAATCACTGCATTCTTGCTTGAAACTGACACAACAGTGGATTTGAAGGCAAAAACTAGTGGTGTTATGTTCCCCTTGGACTGGAATTGGTGTTGTTTGCGCAAAAAATTTAAACAAGAATTCTTTTTTTTTTGAAGGGGAGTTTAATTTTTTTTGCAGAAAAAATTACCTGGAATCTTGCCACATATCTTCTAATTCAAGGCACGGAGATTTATCGTCAAATAAAACTTTTCTTAGCTTACACCGCAACATTAACAAGAAAAAAACTGTTGTGTCCTTCGTCCCATGTATGCAATAAAGTAGGAACATTCCTAATTAGCCAGATATATTGTTATAAAAGCTGGTTGTTATAAAAGCTGCTATAAAAGTTGATATGACGTGACTTGCTTATATGCAAGTCACGTCATATCAACTTATCTGTGTCAGGCAGCAATCAGTTTGACGAAGACTCTAAACAACTCTCCTGGTACCGAAAAAAGTGATTTCCAATGGCATCTGCTTTTAAGTAAGGACACTGAACCGAAATTTGGATTTTGCAAAGTAAAGCTGCAGAAGTGTTGAACCAGACGCTACTTTTGGAAAAGAAGGGCGCGATCAAGCGAGTTCTATGACGTAACTGTCCTCCGGGAGAATTTGAGAATGAGGAGAAGCGGCCTCGCTTCTCTCCTCCTCGCTTCGGTTCACCAGCTTGACGGGACGTAGCGAGGAGGAGAGAGAATGGAAATCGTGACGTCACTTGTCGCGTTGGCCTCGTCGGCTGGGTTCAATTGCGCACTTCTTTTCCAAAAAATACGGCGATCCCTTACATATATCGCCTTATGAAGGATATTTTTTGGTTTTGAAGCTTCCCGCCTATCCGCCCGGCCTTGTTTGGTGAGCTCAAAATTTCGGTTCAGTATCCCTTTAAACTAGCCTTTCAGACTTGGGCCAGATGTCTGGGCCTGCCCTACTCTGAACTGAACAATAAATATATAAATAGATTTCCGAGGGACAACATAAAAATATGTCATGTGGTCCCTATCCGGAGCTGATTAGGTTTTCGAGTCTAACCATTTTTGTGAGTTGTCATTTGTTGGAAGCGCTCTATAACATTGCTATGATTGACCTGTCACGTGCCCCGGGGAAAACGATACGTCCAGGCATTTTCTTAGAGCGTTTACCTATGGACGTATTTGCTTGAATCATTTTAGCCGCGTCGGTACGTGCGTCAGGGAGCAATGAATGCGTGAAGCGAGCGGAATGGACCTTTTTTTTTCAATTAAAGTTGGGGGGGGGGGGGGGTATGTGTATTCCCGTATGGGTATGTGTGCGTTAAGGAGAGCTTGAGAGGTCAAAATTTATTTCCACCTCACGCAGCGGCGAAAACCCCAAGTGCGATTGGTGTTCGAAAGGGGTGCTGCACAACTTCTCGGGCCTCCTCCACGACTGTGTGGCGGAGGATCGCCGTAGAAGTAGCGCAAATACCCTTGCGAACACAAATCAAACGTCGAGCTTCCGCCGCTCGGTGTCGTCTTTATGGGAAAAATATGTCGTCTTTATGGCTAGGTGGCGCCAGTCTCCGCCCGATTCAAAGAGAACAGCCGGCATTCATTCATTCATTCATTTATTCATTCATCCTGTTTCCTTCTGCAATCCGTTACGAGATCCTGAACCCCCGAGACAAATCTAGCGGCGCGCATGCGCAGTATCCTTGCCTTCGCTGCGGAACGGGTAACGGAGGAAGAAAGGTGGTGTACGGAAACTCCCTATTAGGCAACTTTAATAGGTCGTTCCGATGCCTCGGGTAACAGTACCCGATGACGAGATGGAGCACGCGCGAGGACGTCGGCGGGGTATTGGGTATCACTATCCGAGTCACCGGAACGATCTACTAAAACTCCATTATATGCCTTTGAGGGCGTTCCTGCGAATTCTAAGAGAATAAGGGACTGCTCTCTGTGCCCCGTTTGGTGCGTAGATCGAGGCCCTCCCCGAGGTCGTGAGGGCGGTCCGGGGTCGCGTCGAGGTCTACATGGACGGAGGCGTGCGTCGGGGCACAGACATCATCAAGGCGCTTGCCCTGGGAGCCAGAGCGGTCTTCGTCGCACGACCCAACATCTGGGGACTGGCGTACAACGTAAGCTACATGCTCGCGCACGTCGAACGGTCATCGATCATTGCGGTCGACCTCCTTAACAAAGTGATTTCGTACTTTCAGTTACATATTTCTTTTCTTAATCCTAGATTGTTTTTCTCTTTTTTTTCTGTCTAGACCCCCAGGTTTTGTTGACAGCATCAAAAGAAAGTGTGCAGATGTGTTTTCGTTTACTTCGGGTTGAAGCGTTCCATTTGACTTCCAGTTGTTAATGTCAGTAAAACGTTGGCAGATATATTTATAGCTCTGTGTTTAAATATATATTTTTTAAATTGAGTTACTTGTATTATGCTCGCTGAAAATCAGCAGACATCGTTTGGGCCTCACGTCAGAGGACATTTTCTCTACTTTGTGTAAAACTTCCCTTTCTGCCGCTCCGGTCAGCGAACATGAACAGGAGCCCACTTCACTTGTTTGAAGAATAATAAAATATATATAACCGGTAGAGAAATGCAACAATGAAAATTCTGAGTCGGACTGAATCAGCGTGTTAAACCAGACGTCTAGCGTGACCCACCCCAGTGGTCCGTTTCCTATGTACACGCGCGGAGACTTTTTCGAAGTCCTACTGAGAGGAAAGGCGGTTTCCTGACTGCCCGCGCGCGACCACAGTCTAACGTATGTTTTGAGCAGGTGTACTACCACGTTGTATGGTATGCTCCCAACAGTGTTGTATCGTCGTAGCCATATCTCAAGGACAGATGGACGTCGATCGCTTTAAGAACGTATAAAGTAGCATTCGCGCCTTATTTGTTTTTGCATAACCTATGTCACAGTTGCATAATCTATGTCACATCGTACGAGAAATAAACACGATTCAGACTTATCTGCAAGCTGGCTTTTGTGTGATCTATTTTTGACCGCGGCTCGAGGCGTCCTGTCTACTCCTTTAGGTTTTGCACGAACTGACTCTTAAAATTTACTGCGTGCGCGCTTCTGCGCTCAGCCACAGACATGCGAGACTTGTCTTACCACCGCCGGGCTAGACAGCCGCATTCCTTACGGCCTTTACTTTCGATTTACGAGCAGTGAGAGTTTTTTTTCTAATGCGTAAGGGCACGATAACGCCACCCCTCCGCATACTGCCTGAACCAACCTGAACAACTGCTCTGACCCCCTTGGTTGAAACTATGTGCCAATGTACTCGAATGAAACAATTGTAGCGCGCTGATTGAAATAATTTCCGGCTTACAATAAGCAGACGCTTGGTTATGAGAATTTGTCACCAGAATATTCGTAGCTTGAATGCCGCGTGCCGAAGTTTTCCCTTCAACTCATTGCCACGGGGCATTTGAAGCACGGATTTCGTTGTGACGAGCTTTCGAATCTGTATGCATGCAGACTGTCTTTTGTATGGTGTATGGGACCCCGTCTTAAATGAATACTGAACAAAACAATTTATCGTCTATAATAAGTGGCGCACGTTCTTTCCACGAGCCAGCAGCCGCCGGTGCACGCGAGTACACGCAACGAAATTGACGTCATATAGTCCCCCATTCGCGCTTAAAGTAAACGTGAAATGTGTGGGATTCGGTCCAATGCTGAATAAAAACAGGCTTTTTATCTCCACAAGTGAAAGCTACGGGTTTGTTAGATTAATTAATTACTTACCTTTTACACGAGATCCCAATGTAGAGATGAAAAGCTTCTCTTAATACTCCGTTTTCCTGAAGCTCATTCATTTCACTGTCACATCAAGCGTCAATGGGGGATACGATGTCCATTTCATTGCATGTGCTCGCGCACATCCGCGGCTGCTGCCTCGTAGAAAGATCGTGCGCCACTTATTATAGACACTGAAATGTTTGGTTCATCATCATTTGAAGTCCCTGCCGGCCGGCGGCATCGAGGCCTGAAGCTCAATCTATAACCTTGAAATTCCTCCAATTCAACCTCGGAGCCAAGTGGTCAACATGGTGAGATTATGGGGTCTTGCTAGGACGAGTTAAAACGCTCAGGAGGGTTGAGATTGCAGCGACCCCGCCGAGCTGCGGTGGCAGAGAAGAACTACCCCCATTGTGAATAAGGGTGCGCGCATTTCATTTAGCTCCGTCGCGATTTTACCCCCACGACCCAGATACTCAAAAGGCCTGCTTGCTCTTTCCCATGACGTCACACTAAGGGTGGGATAACGGACGGTGATTCTCTTCCTTTTTCACACGTTATCATATTTGCGTGACCAATAAGCAGAGGTGTCCTTACACATAGTGTTACGTTTAGTGTGTGTAGAAAGGGTGACCACGTGGAAATGCCTTGCATCTATACTCGTTGTTACGTCAGAAAACAAGGAAGTTGACGCAATGTTTATGCACTGCACAACTTCTTGCAAGACTTTGTTGTCGGAAGAGGAAGCTTTGCTCCCTGCAATTGAAACGTGTGTGTCTTGATAAAATATAACGGCAAGCGAGTCTCGAATTCGCTCAGACAGATCTTAATTCACCACATAAAGGAGTAAATTAGAAGTGCTCCGGCGAGAAGTCGGATCGTTTCTTAGTAAACCGTTCTTGAGGGGATTAGGAGTAAAGCTGCAGTCAATTGTAGGCGCGATTCTGTCCTGCAGACGTATGTAGGGCCTGCTTGGAATGTCAATCTTTTCCTAACGCACCTTCCAGGGTCAAGCCGGCGTGAGTAGGATGCTCGAGATACTCAGGGAAGAGCTGGACCGGGCACTCGCACTGATGGGTGAGTGTGCACCTGGTATCTCACAAGTTGCGTAAGCAGAAGGACGGTGGAGGAAGGGACAGGTGTCGCAACTAGGTCAGAAAAGGGGGCTGAAATTCCAATCGGGCTTCGCGCATCTCCCGCCAGGGGCACTGACGGGTTGGGGATCCGCGCGGCCTTGAAAACGTGTGGGCGAATAAAAGCGATTCCTGGAGCTCCTCTAATGGTGCGCCCTCTCACGGGGTTTGTCAAAAATGTGAGCGAACCTTCGACGCACTTGCTTCATGGCGAGGAGGCGCCGTTCAGTCAACTGTATTTTTACACCCCGATGCAGGAGTATATACCGGTAAAATTAAAAACGTAATTGTTCCGGAATACAAAAGGTCGGAAGAAAAAATTGACTAAAAATATAGATCAAGATTTTAAGCATAATTCAGGGGCTGCTTTGTGTGTTTATTCAAGTTCCTACTTCAGTTTTACAACCGACACCTCGAGCGTGGATTGTAACGCTGTTGTTAAATGTAGTGGACCAAAGCAGTTACGCTCTGCGATCTACTGAGCATTGAACACCGCATTTTACGTTTACGTCCTCAAAAATAAGGACTTTGCCTTGCTATTGTAATAAATAAATTTAAAAATATGTTCGCTTATTTCGTGTCACTAAAATCTTCATTACAGTTTTTTTTTTCAATTTAGAAAATGTATTTATTAAAAGCCCCTTTAAAGAGTTAAACACAAGTTGTATAAATTATTTCCTTTTTTTTTTGCTTCTAGTTTGGTATTAATAAAGAATGCTTTATAGTCTATAACTGCTTTCAATATAGTGAGGCTCAATTCAGGTTCGCTCAGTGTTTAATGTAATAAATGAATAGATGTGGGCTTAGCTCACATAATTATTAATCAATGAGTGAAAATGATACGGAACCTCGATGCGAAGGACATACCAGAACTCATACTTTTCAATATATCGACAGATTGTTTGTCTCAATGAGTATTAACTGAAGCTGGTTATGGAAAGAGAAAATAAGCCTATAAAATTACCGGTTTCAAAGCATTAACAAACTCTATCACCTTGTGGTTTTAAAAAAGCCGTATTTTTCACCTGATTCACGTAATTATGGCTGGAAAATTGAACAATTAACCTTCCGACTAATCAAATAATACTTTGATCGTGATTAATAGTTTGTATCGTTTATTCGGTAATATTTTGGACGATCAAAAAGAAAGTAAAAATTGCACGCTTTCAGCACGCAGACGCGAGCGAGTACACCTTTACGAAGGGCAAACTTTAAGTCAAATACTAGCCTAAAGTAAGTTAGGGCAAGATTCTTAACTTCTGAGAAGTGCAGAAGGTTACACGCATCCCAGCCACTTCAACGCCGTTCAAGTTCCCGTTTAGCGCAGCGGATGAGGTCGCTCGTGCCGGAGAGTATGAAAGAACCTCTTTGCCTCCTGCAGCTGAAGTAATAATCTGTGAGTGTGGGCGTCTTTGAACTGTTGTTAACTACACATCAAGGTTGATTTAGTATAAAAATTGTAGATTGCACCGTTTATTACATATTCAGCGAAGGCAAAAACAAAATGAATCAATTTTGACTTTTGAAATATTATGTGAAGAAATAAACGAGACCGATTAATCGATTAAAGGGTGGTGATTAATCGGGTAAATCCATTTAATCCGTCCAGCCTGTCTTCATCTTTGTTCTTTTGCTAAGTTCCGCTTAGATGAAGATGATGGAAGAACCTCGCCTTCATCGCCGTTCTTGCTAATTTCTGCTTATGTGCAGCGAATCGAAGGCTCAGGCACAGAACAAGTCTCAAAACCATCTCGTTTGTCAGCGCTGCACGATATTTTGAGATGGAACTTAGAGGGATACTGAACCGATATCTTGGGTGAAGATTCTTAATTGTAATGGCATTTATAGCACATTGTCTTGAGCGAGATTGTGTCCAAAATTCATTAAATAAAAATATAAATATTGCACCCTGGTGCGCGTTTCTAGAAGCTTGCTTCTTGACCACGTTAATTGTCCGACTATCCAGGATAGCTTGGGGGGGGGCGCTCTGTGCGGTCTCGGCTAGGTATCGTAAACTCCCGCCCTTTACACACGGCATAGCTACTAGTCACCCATCCAACCGGTGTTTGGCACCCTCGGCCCGTTTTGTAGGAAAAAAGGCGCCATTCATTGTTGTAAAATTGCTCGAGGCACGTGCCGCGTGCCACTTCTGGGAAATTAGTGGCGTCTGAAATCTAGCTCAGTGCTACAGTGTACTAGACTAGTACACTGTATCAGTGCTGCGCTGTGCCGCCATGATTTCCCCAAGGGCTGCACGTTGCACGTGCCTCGTGCATCGACGAACCTTGTGCAACTTTTGAAACATAAAGAGGCTTTAGTTTCGTGCTCGTCAAGCGTGCTCGTACCTGCTCATACGTCGAGCTGCTTCGGCTATGTTATGGCGACGTAAGGCAACAGCAGCTGCGGCAGGGGCAGCGAAGTGCCGTCTGATTAGAAGCGCGAGCATATACTAAGGTAGAGGCATAAAGTTCTGCCGTATGATACTCCTTTCACCCTTGCTGAGACTGGAAGCTCCGTCTCCAGCACGAGCTCGCTGGCCTCCACAGTGCTTTGGCTGCGCGTGCCTGCCCATTCAGACTTGTGTTAGCAAGGGCAGAAAGCTGCGACCCGGCCACGTTGTCGTCGTCGTCGGATTGCATGCTCAGTACGAGGCTCCAGGTCACGGTGTGAGATACACTCTTTAGGTGAGGACACGGCGGGGATGAACTCGCAGCTGAGAAATCAGATAGTGTTCGCTCGACGGGCATCCGAAAGGCTGCATTATTCCGCGGCCATCATGCCCGCGGCTGACAGTGTTTCCGGCGGCCAAACGGCGAAACTGTGCGAGAGTGAAAAAAAGTATATCGTTGCCATGACACCCCGGTACACCGTGGTCTTTCTGCACGAGCGACAACCTCGCAGGAGCTCTGCGCGTGTGGAGCATGAGGCGGCACGAGCCGTCTTTGCCGTGCCCACGGGGGGGGGGGGGGGGGGGGGGGGGGGCTGACTGAGTTACGGCGACATTTTGTTTTCAGCGATTTCTTTGTATTTTCCCTGCGAGGACGTGCTGTAAGCATCGGTTATTACAAGGGATGGCATCACTCAAGCAGAAGGACGTTGAGTCACCCTAGTACAAACTAGGGTGCCTTCATGTGCGCTTTGCTTGAGGTGATAACAATCTTTGTAGTACCCAATACCGACAGCACGCTTTCTTGAGGTCATTTCGAGGTCATAGGTCACAAAATGACGCCGTAGCACCGACAATGCCAGGAGCTCATGCCGGAAACGCGCCTTCTCGCGCTCAAAAAAAAAAAAAAGAAAAAGAAAAGAAGGCGTCGGGAACAAAATGGTCAGATGTCATGAGCCTAAGCAAAACGCACATGAAGGCACCCTATAGAATGAAAAAAACGTATATACAGGACAACGACGAACGAAAGCGAGAGCAAGTAAGCATACGTCAGCTGCGCCATGGCTATACTGCAGAAGGCCTCGCTCGCACCGTCTGCTTCCAGCTGACGGTTCGCTCGATCGGCGCGATCGTAAAACTTAGTTCAGAGAAATACAATATTCTGATCGTCATCCATCTGTGCGAATGGCGTACTTGGATGCTGTTACCAACCGGGGATCTCGCTCGGGCATTATTTTTGCAACTTCACATTACATTTCGGTTTTCCTTTAACGGGCACTCTCGCCACTTCCGCCGCGCTAAAACAAAGTCACGTTGCAGCAACACACAAAGTCTTCTCCGTTTCACGTTAGGTCTGCCCGCAGCCGATGCCTGATCCGACAGAGCCGATCAAGTAGCGCCAAAAAGTACATCGTCACGACGCCCGTCGTCTTCGTGCGTTTTCAACCGCCGACTAAGCCAATCGCGTACAGAACATGGCGCAGTATCACGGGGCATTCACTGCGTGGCTGGATTACACGGAGGCATTAAACGTACAAAGATGACGAGAGCCTTGATGATAGAATTTTGCCGCTGAGTGATTGGCTTCATCGGATCTCACCGGCCGCAGTCGGACCTGACGTAAAACGAAACACAATCCCCCCACAACCTCAAAAAAAAAAAAAAAAAGGATTAGTGGAGCACGTGGGGCTCTCTCGTACATGTTGCGACATCTCCCGGGAGAAGCCGTGCGATATTGTGTCGCTAGTCGCGCATGCGCGTAGCTGAGCCAAGCAGCCAGTGGCTGTTTGCGTCCGGGGCGCGACCCCCGATTTACTTCCGGAAGGCGATTGCTACAAAGCATGTTACTGAAGGTTGTCCACTTCTTTAATCGTCGCATGAAACTCGCGATTTATTAACGCGAGAGCGTTAAGGGGCTCGTGTCACAAAAAATCCGATGTCGGTTGCGTCTGGTGGAAATCTGGAATTGGTCCGTGGGCTCATGACGTCACGGCCGCATGCTCTCGCGCGGAAATGTAAAAAAAAAGAAAACCACAACGCTTACGTGAAACTTGACGTCACGTGACATGTAATGCGAATTAAATGTCGCCGCAGGTCTCCAATGGTTTCACTTTATAAAGTATTTCATTTACCCTAAAGATATATTTTCAAAATTTTAGGCGGAATTTGAAGCCAAGACCAATCGTTTGTGATCTAGACACGCTACTCATTAAGCCGCACAAGGCACGCTCGCACTGCTTGGGAACGAGCGGGAGTTGTTATGTTTATATATTTCGGTATCGGGGGGAGGGGGCTTTCAACTATTAAAGGCGAAGGCTAAGCGTCCTTTTATAATTTTTTATCCGTCCTTCGAGATGTAAAGATATGTTGCCTCCATTATAAGAAAAACGCGAAAAAAAAACCATTTTGTTTTAGTCATTTAAAAGAAGAAAAAAAAAACGCGTGCCTTGTCACTACGCATTTATATATTATAAACGACTAGCTCACTGCAAGGGTGTTGTTCCTTTTTGTTTTTCACAACTTGAACCTCTAGGACAATATAAATATGCGCACGTATAATAATAAAAAAAATCTTTCTGATGTCGGTTATCATGGGTTGCGCATGGAACATGAACAGTCACTGAGTACTTGGCTCAGCTGTCCGCATGCACGACTCGCGACACCAGATAGCACGGCTTCCCCTGGCAGATGGTGTCACAGGTATAAGCTATACGCCCTCGCGCTCCGCTGGTTCATTTCGTTTCGTTGAGCACTGTACAATGCCAGCTCGTGACGTCATGCCGATCTCGGGGTGCCGGCTGTGCGAATCTCGGAAAGGTCTGCTGGCGGCGTATACGCAGTGGTGTAGCCAATGCACCTGTGTATAACAGTGCGTCGATGTGTATGATCAGAAAGAAGGCGGGAAATGATATTGCGCTTCTATACGAAGCAAGTTATTGTGATGTAGTTTAACACCTGTAACTGTGGTGCAGAAAAAAAAAACTTTCAATCGAAGGGACTTTCTCAGATGGGAACGTCTGGAAACGTTCCTTTCAGTGTCTGTTCTTTCGACTAAAAGTTTCTTTTCTTTTGTGCACCACAGTCTCAGGTGTTATACGACAAGATTAGCTACCACCAGCTCGACTGTGAATTTAGTCTTTTCACTAACAAGTTATCGTGCCTTGCAGGGTGTTCTTCCGTCGATGAACTCCGTCCCGAGATGGTTGTTCACCAAGAATACTACTACGATCTTCTGAAAAGACCCCAAAAATAGCCGTGACGGCGGCTGGATAAGAAGTAAGAACCCGCGGCTTGAGGCTCGTTACCTCAAACCGACAATAAACAGGAAATCGCGCAATGCATCGCTTCTCGTTTCCTTTTTTTTTAACATAAATCAACGAGGCACACAACCGAGAGGGGAAGATCGGTGGTGGCCGAGTGGGCCAGCGCACGCCAACTCGGAGCACCTGGAGTGAAAGCTCACGCTGCAGAGCCCAATGGACCCTGGCTTCAATTTCCACCCCTGCCCGTCTCGATGTGGATGAGCATCGTACCGGCGTGCGGGCAGGTCTATAGCAGCTGTACTGCACTGGCCAAATTTCTCATCTACAGTGGGTAACAATGTCATCGTGTCTCTCGCGGACTAACCATCCCCGTTGTAAGAACAACAAATAATTACTTTATTGTTTGATGATGTTCATATTGCTCACTACTACATTGCAGAAAACGAATCCTTGAAAATATTTACCAATATCGTGTTGACCCTAAAGCCGGAATCGCTCCGGTCGTACATCGTACAAAATACACAGTGTTTGCAGCAGACACGACGACAGAATTCTCTGCTCATGCATCTCGTGCATGCTCGAAGAATGTTTGCTTCATAGTTATGCAGACTTCAAACATGTCTGCAGAAAGTTTTTTTTTTTTTTTCTGAATTGCCAATATGAGAGGAGCATTACATAAAAAAAAAACCTCAAACACTAGAGAGTTTTAGGGAACCATTTTGCACATTTGATACGGTATGGTTAACACTCCGGTACAAACTGCGCATGCGCTACAGCCTAACACTGGCACATGCACAGTTCGCACCGGAGGGCCCACCATACCCTATCGAATGTGCAAAAACGGTTATCTAAAACTCTCTACTGTCTGCAAACTGTCTTTTATGTGTTGTTCAACCAGATTGGCCGCGGCTCAAGAGTAGCCTCAGGCTACTCTTAAGCACGCAGGTCAGTACTTATTTACGGAACAAAACCGACATGCGCAGTGAAAAGAGTGTGAATGCACAGGCTATAGGCTGCTGGTAGCTAATCGTGTCGTTTAACACCTATACATTTTTGCATGAAGGGAAAACCGTCAGGGATGGATGTGTTTTCAGAAATTCAAACTATATCCAATATGAGGATTCACAATAAAAGAGGTAGGTTTTAGAAGTTCCCTTTTGATTCTGTTCCTTCGACTAAAGGGTTTTGCATTTTCTGCACCGCAGTTTTGGGCGTTTAGCGGCATGACATGTGCAGCTCCTGGTACTTTGTGCAGCCCAGACAAGCGCATGAGACAGACATAACTGTAGGTATAGAGTGTTACATTTCCCCGAATAACTATATCTTCAGTACAAATTGAAACCATCAGAAATCGTCGAAATTCCCATTTAAGGCTACAGCACATGCGGGAAAAATCAGCCAGCGATCAGACGAAATTTGGAACATGAGACAATTCTTTCGTGCATATGATGGAAAAACAAGGGCATTTACTGACGTCAGTGGGAAACATAGCTTCGTTGAAAGCTAATTTCCTATTTATGTGCAATAAGTACCTATGCATGATTCGTTCTTCAAATTATGAAGTGTAACCATTCTTTTTGGTTCCAACTTTGTACGATTTTTGGTTGGTTCTTTTCACATGTGTTCCACCATTGAGTTCTTCGTAGGCTAAGTTTCTCGGTAAATACTGGACCTAGTTCCAATTTGTTTCTTTCCCTTTTTGTATGAGCTCTCATTCACAGAGCACACCCTATCACGGCGTAGTGGAATTTCCCATAGCGGTACTATATTTCCCAGTGTTTAATGTTTTCGAAATAGATCTGGGTCAAAGTCGGCAGCTGTTAGTAAGGGGACAAGAAAAACTTCACTTCATATCCTGTAGCGTTCGGTACAAAATACGCTTGCCGAATGAGTCATCCGTGCTTACGATCAAAGTGTGTCACGCGCACACAAAGGCTCCGATGTGAATGCCGATCCGAAATTTCGAACGCTGCGGTTAGGCTGATAGCTCACAGTGCACTTGTTCGAACAGATTGGAAACGCTATCCCTTAAATATTGGTTTCGCCGTTTTTTTTTTTTTTTTTTTTTTTTGTGAATGGAAATAGTATTGTTATATGAAAAAAAAAAGAGCAACGAACAATCAACTCGAGCATTCATACAGAAACTCTAAGTTGATGGCGATGATGCACACGCATACTGAATAAAAGGTAGAGGTAACTTTACACCGTACCAACGTTTACAAATCCACAACCCAGCGTGCAACCTCCACATCGCAGCCCATATTGCACTCGCGAGTTCGTCGCATCGGAAAGCGAGCAAATCAAGCGCCGTATACGCACAGATGTCGAAGATGAAACCGGTGGAAAGCCCGTCACTGGAATGGTTTTTCAGGCATAGGCTGTATCGAAGATACATGTATCTTCGATACTATCTCTGGATACATTTTGCGTATCGGTATTAGATATGGCTCGTCAGAAATAAAAAAAACAGCTAGAAAATGTGCACCAATAATGGTTAATATTGGGGAGGTTTGTGTACCGAATATTTGTTCAAAAATGTGCATCAATATTGGTCATCATTAGGTCCATAGTATAGCCAATATGGGTACAGTCAATATAGCGTGCGTTGCACTTTCCAATATTGGCCAATATTGATGCCCATATTTCCCATTATGGGACCAAAATAGGACCACTATTGATGTTCTGCCTGGGTACCTGTTCGCAAATTCTTTAAGTGGTGAAGCCTCTGATAGTAATTTGGCTTCAATACTGCAATGGCAACATGAGCCATGAAACCCCTATTTAAAAAAGTGAATCGGAACTTCTATATATATGCCAACTTACCACGATGGTTATTCCCCACCGAGCCTTATACTTACACGGCGAAGACGGTACCCGCGTGTAACTCTCACCCCTTATCTAAGTCAACTATTCTAAAAATACTAAAGTAATTTCAAAATAATTCAAAATTCAATTATTACTTTCATAAATCCGTCACTGCGCGTTTTACATTCTAGAAACCTGTGAGTCAGGATCGGAGAGCGTATGAAATTAGCTTCCCACTGATTCCCGCAATGCAGGCCGTTCCATTACGCTGCAATGAGGTGCTTCGAGTTTTGGAAGAAGTCCACTGGTTACATGTTCCGTGGGCCTCCGGTGTATTTCAGAGTCTAGAATACTGCACATGTAAGTGCGGCGTCTCAAGGGTGTGAGGCGTATGCCGCAAAGATTGGAATGTTTTTTTTTTTTTTCAGCATTACGCTGCCATTGGTAGCGCTACATATTCCATCAAAATATTTTTAAGTTCAATGGGGAAGCGACATCACCGTTATTTCTTTAAATCGGTGAAGAGCTATCCGGTATAAATTGTTTTTATATCTGACCATACGATCGACAGACAAGGACGTCGTGCAGTCTCCTTTCCCAAACTCTCGGAAAGTAGACGATGTAGACCTGGGTTCGTCGGAATATACCTGGGCTTAAGTAGAGTGAAATTAAGACCCCAGTATCATAATATAATGTAAAGAGGTTTACGGATGCATGTAAGTTGGGATAAGGTCCACTTCAACTGAATAAAACGTGTTTTCAGGAGAGTGTTGAAGACCTTGCGGCGGCGTCTCGCACACCGTTGACGCCTTGCTGGTGAACGCCACCGTGCGTAAAAAACGAGGCGGGCACTCGAAGGCTAGTTCGGGGAGACTCCTCTTTAAAAAATACCTCCTTAGCAACAACAAAAAGTACTTTTCTAGTTTTGCGATATGTTGAACAGATGAGGCGGATTGAAATTTTGGCTATTTCGAAATTCCCGGGCACCGTTACCCGCATTGATTTTTCTGGCTCTAAATCTGGCGGTTTCTGCATGAACATTAGATTTTTCGATTAATTAAAACGCATCAAAACAAGTAATTAAAAATTGAACACATGCAATTCAATTATTACTTTTAAAAGGGGAAAAAGTAATTGTAGCTAACACTTAACACTGAGTAGCCTTCAAAATAAAAGGAATTCATAATGTGTCTTAATTTTGTAGCCCTTATTTGGCCTCAAAATGGTGTTTTTCATTGTTTGTGTGTTAGCGTAAGATAAGAAATATTAGGCAATAAGGCGCCCACAGAAATCTTCGTGGTACGCAACTGTTTTCACGGTGTTTTTCTTGACTACACAGGTTTTATGCCCATTCCAGAAATTTAGAGCGTCATATCAGCAAAAATAAAAATATTTTTAACAACATTGTTTTTTCCATGGATTTTAGAGTTTTTTTTATTCAAATTAATCGTTTCTTTTATATATCAGACATGAAAAAGTCGCCGTATCGTATCAAGCAATGTCGAAATCTTAAGTGACTGTTTTTTTGTTTATGATTTGTTTATTGATGATACGATACGTACAGAAACATGACGAACAACATTATGGTGCGCTTCTATATCTGTTAGATCGGTCCCATCAGATCGTGGCGTCGGCTGCGTCATGACTTAAGGTGAAACGAAGTATAGCGCATTCTCAGCTTAGTGGTGTATGGAGTATAGTAGAAAGTTTTACATTTTCATCGATGCATAAGTTTAAAGATTCCTTAAATCGTCTCCAACGAAGTTTTAGAAATATCTATCAGTCAAACAAGAGACTGGTACTGCATTTAGAATAAACGATGATATAGTTGAAGAGCCATAAAAGATAGCCGCCAGTTTTAACGAACATTTTAAATCTGTTTTTACTATCGATGATGGACGGCTGCCAAATTACACTGTTGATCAGGTTGTGCCAGAGTTGTATGACCTTATTTTCACTGAAGAAGGCATCCTTAATCTGCGTCTTAACGTCGATTCTAAGGAGTCAATGGGACCAGATTTAATTCCAAATGCTTTTCTGATACGTTACTCTGGGTGGATGGCTAAGTACTTGTTGATAATATTCCGAAAATCATTAGAATGGAGTGCTGTTCCTAAAGAATGGAAAATAGCTAAAATTATATCTGTTTTTAAATCGGGCGACAAAAAAAATGTTGCACACTATAGGCCCATGTCCATAACGAGTCAGTGTTGTAAACTGTTGGAACATATAATTTCTATAAACATTTTCGATTACGTTGAAAAGGTAA